ATCTTTCGAGCCTACTTTTCTGTACAAGAGACCTTGGTTTTGTCGTTTGATCATGTTGTTTTTTTAAAAGGAGGCTTTTTAGTCCATAAAAACGACATTTTACTATAGTCGAAAAATTTCCATATTTTAAAACGGGTTAACCTATGATTCTCGTCATCACTTCCAAATATCTTTCGAGCCTACTTTTCTGTACATGAGACCTTGGTTTTGTCGTTTGATCATGTTGTTCTGTCAAACGAAGGCTTTTTAGTCCATGTAAACGACATTTTACTATAGTTGAAGAATTTGCATATTTTAAAACGGGTTAACCCATGATTCTCGTCAAAAGTTCCAAATATCTTTCGAGCCTACTTTTCTGTACAAGAGACCTTGGTTTTGTCGTTTGATCATGTTGTTTTTTCAAAAAGAGCCTTTTTAGTCCATAAAAACGTCATTTTACTATAGTCGTAAAATTTGCATATTTTAAAACGGGTTAACCCATGACTCTCGTCACAAGTTCCAAATATCTTTCGAGCCTACTTTCCTGTACAAGAGACCTTGATTTTGTCGTTTGATCACGTTGTTTTGTCAAAAGGAGGCTTTTTAGTCCATAAAAGCGACATTTTAGTATAGTTGAGAAATTTGAACATTTTAAAACGGGTTAACCCATGATTCTCGTCATCAGTTCCAAATATCTTTCGAGCCTACTTTTCTGTACAAGAAACCTTGGTTTTATCGTTTGATCATGTTGTTTTGTCAAACGGAGGCTTTGTAGTCCATAAAAACGACATTTTACTATAGTCGAGAAATATGCATATTTTAAAACGTGTTAACCCATGATTCTCGTCATCAGTTCCAAATATCTTTCGAGCTTACTTTTCTGTACAAGAGACATTGGTTTTGTCGTTTGATCACGTTGTTTTGTCAAAAGGAGGCTTTTTAGTCCATATAAACAACATTTTACTATAGTCGAGAAATTTGCATATTTTAAAACGGGTTAACTTATGATTCTCGTCATCAGTTCCAAATATCTTTCGAGCCTACTTTTCTGTACAAGAGACCTTGGTTTTGTGGTTTGATCATGTTGTTTTGTCAAAAGGAGGCTTTTTATTCCATAAAACGACATTTTACTATAGTTGAAGATTTTGCATATTTTAAAACGGGTTAACCCATCATTCTGGTCATAAGTTCCAAATATCTTTCGAGCCTACTTTTCTGTTCAAGAGACCTTGGTTTTGTCGTTTGATCATGTTTTTTTTGTCAAAAGGAGGCTTTTTAGTCCATATAAACGAACTTTTACTATAGTCGAGAAATTTGCATATTTTAAAACGGGTTAACCCATGATTCTTTTCATCACTTCCAAATATCTTTCGAGGCTGCTTTTCTGTACAAGAGACCTTGGTTTTGTTGTTTGATGTTTTTTTGTCAAAAGGAGGCTTTTTAGTTCATAAAAACGATATTTTACTATAGTTGAAGAATTTGCATATTTTAAAACGGGTTAACCCTTGATTCTCGTCAAAAGTTCCAAATATCTTTGGAGCCTACTTTTCTGTACGAGAGACCTTCGTTTTGTCTTTTGATCATGTTGTTTTGTTAAAAGGAGGCTTTTTAGTCCACAAAAACGACATTTTACTATAGTCGAGATATTTGCATTTTTTAAGACGTGTTAACCCATGATTCTCGTCATCAGTTCCAAATATCTTTTGAGCCTACTTTTCTGTACAAGAGACCTTGGTTTTGTCGTTTGATCATGTTGTTTTGTCAAAAGGAGGCTTTTTAGTCCATAAAAACGACATTTTACTATAGTCGAAACATTTGCATATTTTAAAACGGGTTAACCCATGATTCTGGTCAAAAGTTCCAAATTTATTTCGAGCCTACTTTTCTGTTCAAGAGACCTTGGTTTTGTCGTTTGATCATGTTTTTTTTTGTCAAAAGGAGGCTTTTTAGTTCATATAAACGACATTTTACTATAGTCAAGAAATTTGCATATTTTAAAACTGGTTAACCCATGAAACTCGGTATCAGTTCCAAATATCTTTCGAGCCTCCTTTTCTGTACAAGAGACCTTTGTTTTGTCGTTTCATCATGCTGTTTTGTCAAAAGGAGGCTTTTTAGTAAATAAAACGACATTTTACTAAAGTTGAAGATTTTGCATATTTTAAAACTGGTTAACCCATGAAACTCGGTATCAGTTCCAAATATCTTTCGAGCCTACTTTTCTGTACAAGAGACCTTTGTTTTGTCGTTTGATCATGTTGTTTTGTCAAAAGGAGGCTTTTTAGTCCATAAAAGGACATTTTACTAAAGTTGAAGATTTTGCATATTTTAAAACGGGTTAACCCATGATTCTGGTCATAAGTTCCACATATCTTTCGAGCCTACTTTTCTGTACAAGAGACCTTGGTTTTGTCGTTTGATCATGTTGTTTTGTCAAAAGGAGGCTTTTTAGTCTATCTAAACGATATTTGACTATAGTCGAAAAATTTGCATTTTTTAAAACGGGTTAACCCATGATTCTCGTCATCAGTTCCAAATATCTTTTGAGCCTACTTTTCTGTACAAGAGACCTTGGTTTTGTCGTTTGATCATGTTGTTTTGTCAAAAGGAGGCTTTTTAGTCCATAAAAACGACATTTTACTATAGTCGAAACATTTGCATATTTTAAAACGGGTTAACCCATTGTTCTGGTCAAAAGTTCCAAATTTATTTCGAGCCTACTTTTCTGTTCAAGAAACCTTGGTTTTGTCGTTTGATCATGTTTTTTTTGTCAAAAGGAGGCTTTTTAGTCCATATAAACGACATTTTACTATAGTCGAGAAATTTGCATATTGTAAAACGGGTTAACCCATGATTCTTTTTATCACTTCCAAATATCTTTCGAGGCTGCTTTTCTGTACAAGAGACGTTGGTTTTGTTGTTTGATGTTTTTTTGTCAAAAGGAGGTTTTTTAGTTCATAAAAACGATATTTTACTATAGTTGAAGAATTTGCATATTTTAAAACGGGTTAACCCTTGATTCTCGTCAAAAGTTCTAAATATCTTTGGAGCCTACTTTTCTGTACGAGAGACCTTGGTTTTGTCTTTTGATCATGTTGTTTTGTTAAAAGGAGGCTTTTTAGTCCACAAAAACGACATTTTACTATAGTCGAGATATTTGCATATTTTAAAACGTGTTAACCCATGATTCTCGTCATCAGTTCCAAATATCTTTTGAGCCTACTTTTCTGTACAAGAGACCTTGGTTTTGTCGTTTGATCATGTTGTTTTGTCAAAAGGAGGCTTTTTAGTCCATAAAACGACATTTTACTATAGTTGAAGATTTTAAATATTTTAAAACGGGTTAACCCATGATTCTGGTCATAAGTTCCAAATATCTTTGGAGCCTACTTTTCTGTACAAGAGACCTTGGTTTTGTCGTTTGATCACGTTGTTTTGTCAAAAGGAGGCTTTCTAGTCCATAAAAACGACATTTTACTATAGTCGAGAAATTTGCATATTTTAAAACGGGTTAACCCATGATTCTCGTCAAAAGTTCCAAATATCTTTCGAGCCTACTTTTCTGTACAAGAGACCTTGGTTTTGTCGTTTGATCATGTTGTTTTGTTAAAAGGAGGCTTTTTAGTCCATATAAACGACATTTTACTATAGTCGAGAAATTTGCATATTTTAAAACGGGTTAACCCATGATTCTCGTCATCAGTTCCAAATATCTTTCGAGCCTTCTTTTCTGTACAAGAGACCTTGGTTTTGTCGTTTGATCATGTTGTTTTGTCAAAAGGAGGCTTTTTAGTCTATAAAAACGATATTTGACTATAGTCGAAAAATTTGCATTTTTTAAAACGGGTTATCCCATGATTCTCGTCATCAGTTCCAAATATCTTTTGAGCCTACTTTTCTGTACAAGAGACCTTGGTTTTGTCGTTTGATCATGTTGTTTTGTCAAAAGGAGGCTTTTTTGTCCATATAAACGACATTTTACTATAGTCGAGATATTTGCATATTTTAAAACGGGTTAACCCATGATTCTCGTTATCAGTTCCAAATATCTTTCAAGCCTACTTTTCTTTACAAGAGACCTTGGTTTTGTCGTTTGATCATGTTGTTTTGTCAAAAGGAGGCTTTTTAGTCCATAAAACGACATTTTACTATAGTTGAAGATTTTGCATATTTTAAAACGGGTTAACCCATGATTCTGGTCATAAGTTCCAAATATCTTTCGAGCCTACTTTTCTGTACAAGAGACCTTGGTTTTGTCGTTTGATCATGTTGTTTTGTCAAAAGGAGGCTTTTTAGTCCATATAAACGACATTTTACTATAGTCGAGAAATTTGCATATTTTAAAACGGGTTAACCCATGATTCTCGTCATCAGTTCCAAATATCTTTCGAGCCTTCTTTTCTGTACAAGAGACCTTGGTTTTGTCGTTTGATCATGTTGTTTTGTCAAAAGGAGGCTTTTTAGTCTATAAAAACGATATTTGACTATAGTCGAGAAATTTGCATTTTTTAAAACGGGTTAACCCATGATTCTCGTCATCAGTTCCAAATATCTTTCGAGCCTACTTTTCTGTACAAGAGACCTTGGTTTTGTCCTTTGATCATGTTGTTTTGTCAAAAGGAGGCTTTTTAGTCCATAAAACTACATTTTACTATAGTTGAAGTTTTAAAATATTTTAAAATGGGTTAACCCATGATTCTGGTCATAAGTTCCAAATATCTTTCGAGCCTACTTTTCTGTACAAGAGACCTTGGTTTTGTCGTTTGATCATGTTGTTTTGTCAAAAGGAGGCTTTTTAGTCCATAAAAACGACATTTTACTATAGTCGAGAAATTTGCATATTTTGAAACGGGTTAACCCATGATTCTCGTCAAAAGTTCCAAATATCTTTCGAGCCTACTTTTCTGTACAAGAGACCTTGGTTTTGTCGTTTGATCATGTTGTTTTGTCAAAAGGAGGCTTTTTTGTCCATATAAACGACATTTTACTATAGTCGAGATATTTGCATATTTTAAAACGGGTTAACCCATGATTCTCGTTATCAGTTCCAAATATCTTTCGAGCCTACTTTTCTGTACAAGAGACCTTGGTTTTGTCGTTTGATCATGTTGTTTTGTCAAAAGGAGGCTGTTTAGTCCATAAAAACGACATTTTACTATAGTCGAGAAATTTGCATATTTTGAAACGGGTTAACCCATGATTCTCGTCAAAAGTTCCAAATATCTTTCGAGCGTACTTTTCTGTACAAGAGACCTTGGTTTTGTCGTTTGATCATGTTGTTTTGTCAAAAGGAGGCTTTTTTGTCCATATAAACGATATTTTACTATAGTCGAGATATTTGCATATTTTAAAACGGGTTAACCCATGATTCTCGTTATCAGTTCCAAATATCTTTCAAGCCTACTTTTCTGTACAAGAGACCTTGGTTTTGTCGTTTGATCATGTTGTTTTGTCAAAAGGAGGCTTCTTAGTCCATAAAACGACATTTTACTATAGTTCAAGATTTTGCATATTTTAAAACGGGTTAACCCATGATTCTGGTCATAAGTTCCAAATATCTTTCGAGCCTACTTTTCTGTACAAGAGACCTTGGTTTTGTCGTTTGATCTCGTTGTTTTGTCAAAAGGAGGCTTTTTAGTTTATATAAACGACATTTTACTATAGTCGAAAAATTTGCATATTTTAAAACGGGTTAACCAATGATTCTCGTCAAAAGTTCCAAATATGTTTCGAGCCTACTTTTCTGTACAAGAGACCTTGGTTTTGTCGTTTGATCATGTTGTTTTGTCAAAAGGAGGCTTTTTAGTCCATAAAATTGACATTTTACTATAGTCGAGAAATTTGCATATTTTAAAACGGGTTAACCCATGATTCTCGTCAAAAGTTCCAAATATCTTTCGAGCCTACTTTTCTGTACAAGAGACCTTGGTTTTGTCGTTTGATCATGTTGTTTTGTCAAAAGGAGGCTTTTTAGTCCATAAAAACCACATTTTACTATAGTCGAAAAATTTGCATATTTTAAAACGGGTTAACCCATGATTCTCGTCATCAGTTCCAAATATCTTTCGAGCCTACTTTTCTGTACAAGAGACCTTGGTTTTGTCGTTTGATCATGTTTTTTTGTCAAAAGGAGGCTTTTTAGTCCATAAAAACGAGATTTTACTGTAGTCGAAAAATTTGCATATTTTAAAACGGGTTAACCCATGATTCTGGTCATAAGTTCCAAATATATTTGGAGGCTTCTTTTCTGTGTAAGAGACATCGGTCTTGTCGTTTGCTGACGTTTTTTCTCAAAAGGAGCCTTCTTAGACGATAAAATTACCATATAACTGAAGCTGAAAAATTTGCATATTTTAAAAAGATGAACCCATGATTCTGTTCAAAATTGTTTTTAATATCTTTCAAGTCTACTTTTCTGTAAAAGAGACCTTGGTTTTGTAGTTTGATGATGTTGTTTTTTTCAAAGGTTGTCTTTTTGGACCATAAAAACGACATTTTGCTGTAGTTGAAAAATTTACATATTTTAAATTTGGTTAACCAATGATTCTGGTCGGAAGTTCCAAATATCTTTCGAGGCTACTTTTCTGTAAAAGAGACATTGGTCTTATCGTTTGCTGATTTTCTTTTCTCAAAAGGAGCCTTTTTAGAATATAAAAATACCATATAACTAAGGTTGAAATATGTGCATTTTTTAAAAGGGGTTAACCCGTGATTCTGGTGAAAAGTTCGAAGTATCTTTCGAGCTTACTTTTCTGAATCAGCGGTTGGAATCTTGTCGTTTGATGATGTGGTGTTCTTAAAAGGAGCTGTTTTAGACGATAAAAACGACACTTAACTCTTGCCGAAAAATTTCTTTATTTTTAAATGGATTCAGGTCAAAATTACTTACTGTAAAGGAGACGTTGGTTTTGTCGTTTGATGATGTTGTTTTCTCAAAAGGAGGCTCTTCAGACGATAAAAATGTGGTGTAATAATTTGCAATTTTAGGATTTTTTTCTCCTAATCCTTCCTGCTCTTTTTTTTCGCGTTGAGTATCATCACGAACCATTAGAAATGCGTTAAAAGTTGTTTACGGCTTCAGATAAACCCATTAAGATCATGTTTGCCGTCCGTGTCTGAGAGTCAAGGCTACCAATGTGTTCCTATAGGTTTAATTAATGGCGGACTTCTTTAATGTAATCAAATAGAATTAATGAAGTTATAACTGGCATTCACACAAACCATAAAATAACTTTACGATACTTATAAAGATGCTCTTGCAAACTAGCCAGTAAGATCATGAAAATAGAGCAATTTACCATATAGTAGTAGTAGTAGTAGTACTACTACTACTACTACTACCACTACCAACACTACCACTAAAATTATCACTACAACTACCACTACCTTCATTGGATAATAATAATCAACCCAATGATAAGTATCATCATCGACAACAAAACAACAATGAAAGTAGAACTTAATGGTATCTCGTCTTCATTTCGTAAATTGTTTTGGAGAGTTTCCCAGGGGTCTGTCCTCGGTCCCTTATTCTCTTAAATTTACATCAATGATTTTGGGAAGATTTTAAATATCTATGGCCTGGTTTTATTAGCTAAGTTAATTTTCTTGGTGTAATTTTGGATGTCTTTAATGAGTAATTGTCATGGAAACCCCATATTTCTCAGGCTGCGAACAAAATCTGCAAGTCTGTGGTAGGCGCTATTCGTAACTCGAGTTTTTGTGTTACTAAGACAGCTTTGTGTACCTACTTTATACGATTTGAACTACATACGCATGTTATAACCGTAAAATTCTAAGTACGTAAAATGGACCAGGAGACTGGAAGGTGTCCGCTTTGAAGAGATTCACAGGAAGCGACAGAGGGAGCGGGGGAGGGGTCCGTGTCGCAGAGATCTCAAGAAAATGACTGAGGAATATCAAGGAACCAACTCCAGGTGTCTGATCAAGGATGTGTCTGATTTAAGAAAGAAATATGATTGGCCCCATCTACAACAGAGAGACATTTGACGTCACGCTAACATGGTAGCTAAATTTCTGGATTGCAACAATCTTTCTTGACGGAGACAGCTATCTTTATTATTGAACGAAGGAAGAAAAACGTGAGCTACCGTTTTGTTCTTGAGATCAATCACGCTCAGGAAAGTCAAACATACATTTTTTGGTGTTTTCTCTGTCATATTTACAGGACCACGATTTGTTGATATCCAGAGGTTTTGCTACCATGGTAACAAGACGTAACGACTTCTCTTCTCTATTGGTATAATATTTAATGGCGCGAGACCAATTATTGTGGAATAAATAAAACCATTTTAGGAATGCGCAAGACTGAGTTAGACATCATCGAGGTTGGTAGTGACTGGTGAATTAGGAACCTTGCTGCTGGTAGGTGGGTCTCGATCGAAATCCGGCATCAGTTGTTGGTATTAAGCGCTTAGAACTGAAAAGTATAAGCGCTATATAAATATTTTATTATTTATTATTATTATAGTATTATTAGGCTCTGTAGCTACTGTCTTGTGCTGTGCATGAATAGATTAAAGGGCACCGTAGGGATATACGAACTAAAACCTCAGCTGCTCTGAACACGCCAATAAGACCAAAGATTCAGGTAGAGATTATTCGATTTGGGATAGCCTGCGAGAGCTCTCCAATTGCGGGAGTCGCGAAAAGTCACTACAAACTCGGGCAATATCACCCAACCGAGGTACGATGTCTTATTATATATGTCTCTTAGTTAGTACGCGCGCTGTGATTAGTCACCTGCAAAAAACTCGAATCCTCGCCTCTACAGTGCGGGCGAGGCTCGTTAAATATTTCTTAGACCCCTTCCCAGTTATGAATGATGGTGACTCTGTGTTTTTGGGCCGGACACTCCGCCCTTCTCAGACTTCACGGGGTGTCTAAAGAAGGTCAAACGAAGCACATTGGTTAGAAATCTGCTGCGTTAGTCGAACACGCTCTGAATTTGCAAACCTCTAAATACCCGGCCAACACCTCTTCAGTTAGTTCTGTTCAAATTATTCGAGATGGTTCTTCTACGGAATATCTTGACAACTCTTTTCGTGATGGCATCATTCTTGTAGTCATCAACTTAGAACCGAAACCGGTAGATACGAAAAAATCCCTAGCAATGAAAGGATATGTTCCTTTTATAACAGTAACAAAGGTGAAGATGAAAATCATTTCCTACTAGATTGTAAGGCCTATTCCTAAGATCAGAGTCGTATTTTTTCTCCAGCACAGACCTCGAACTCGATTAGTAAGAGGTATGTAATATCGCTCTGGTGAAAACAAGTGTCCAACTTTCAAATAACCGCCGCCCTCCGTGAAACAAGCAGGACATTTTAGGCGTGAAAAATTTGATAAGCACCATGGCGCTTCTTCCATTAGGTATGTTATAAAAAAAAAATAGGGTAAAAACAAAACAGACTGAAATGACCGAATCTCTAAAGATATGATTTTGTAGGATCCAATAACTGGTTTAAAAGCGGCACCTTACAACTAACATGCATTGCGTCTTTTCGTTTGACTCAGTTGCCAAGTCAAAATGATAAGAAAAAAAACAAAGGTTTTTTGCCGTCATTGACGCCACTAATTCAGAATTTTGAATCAAGCTTAAAAAAAAGAAAAAAAAGAAAGAAAGAAAAAAGGAAAAACATCTGAGAATGAGTCAGCGCTAACTATTTCCAACCCGTTTGTTTTCATTTACATCCCAATCTGGAGTCCATGTGTTTCAGTCTATTTTGTCAAAACAACCCCGCTTAAATTTTATTCCATTTATTTCTGCGTTTTTCTGTAGATCAGAGCGACAAAGTCGCCAAAATGTAGAAGGTCTATGTTTTTTCTAGCAGCAACACATGCACCCACCGGGGCCCTATATTTCAGCGAAGAGCAAGGAGACCGCGCATTGTGGACGATTTGGGGCACTGGGAACTAAAAAGCACAAAATCAAAGATGGCGGGGGGAAGGCATAGTTGGTTTTTATCTCGTTTTTCATCTATTTTCAAGGTTAGTAGCGATTATAGGTGGATCAAACAGTAAGAACTGTAGAAGGTATCGTTTTACGAAGTGTTAGAAGTGCTTGTAGTAATGATTTACCTTACATTTGCCAGTTGATGACCCTGTAAGGCTTAAAGCTAATGTGCAACTCTGTCAATAATTCAATCTCCCCCTTCTTTAGGTCTCAACGCTTTGAATTTAAGGGGATTTCGTTGCGTATCCAATGGTGTTTAAAGGCTCTATTTGCAAATTGGCTTCGTAAAATTCTAAAAATTAAAAGTGTTACAGTGTATGTAGCAAATACTTTATTTGTTTGCTTAGTAGCCAGGCTAGGCCTAGCAACAATCGGCGACAAAATTAGTTGAGACACTTTGCCGTAAAGGGGCTTTTTGACGTTGTACTGACTTCCAAAGGGGAAAATGTAGCTTTTCTTCCCCCATCCCCTCCACACAGTGTTGTGTTACTGTTCAAGCTACCTTTAGAAAACAACAAACACCCCGACTTTGAAGGGAGGAGATGAGGGAGGGGTGTGGATTCTTATGTACAACGTACGTCTCAACAATTTTGTCGCCGATTGAAGCTCTCCAATTATGGTGAGGCCAGAAGTGAGCCACAAGAGAACACAAGAGTGAGTGGCAAAGCCGCGCATGTGGCTGTGTGACTTCTCTCAAATCCCCTGAATCTCTACCTGAATCATCGGTCTGATTGGCGTGTTCAGCTGGGGTGTGGGTTCGTATATCCCTATCATGCTCAGCATAAGACAGCAGTCGCCGAGCCTCTTAACAATACCAACAACTGACTCAAAAGTCATTTAATCATGACAAGCTTGCAAATTGCTGCCTTTAAATTAGCTTCAAAAATGCTAAAAAGTCATCCAAAAATCCTCCAACATTTTCAACAACATGCGGCTGTGTGACTTCTCATAATTCCTCCGAATCTCTACCTGAATCATTGGTTTGATTGGCGTGTTCAGCTGAGGTTTGAGTTCAAATATCCCATCACACTCAGCACAAGACAGCAGCCACTGAACCTCTATTAAACAATACCAACAACTGACTAAAAATCGTTCAATGACGACAGGCTTGCAAATTGCTGTCTTTTAATATAGTTTCAAAAATGCTAAAAAGTCATCTGAAAACCTCCCAACATTTTCAACAACATTAAGTCTACAAAATTGTTGGAACACTTTGGAATGGTGCTGGCACATTTTCCAAAATCCCAGTCATAAGCCGAAAGTCTAAAGCATTTGACTCAAGAGGTTGGCAAGCATAAAGACCTCCATAAATTTATCAATGCCATCTTAGATATAACTTAAGCTTAAGATCAATATTTTGAAAGAACATTCCCAGCAGGGTATTTTTTCATGTACATTGTTCGTTAAAAAAACAACAACAATATTACCCTTTCAAAAAATACACCATTACCTCCCAAATACTGCAATATTTGCAATGTCATGAAAACAAAGACCACCTAAATTAAATGCTGAGTACGTCACTGTCTGACTTTCTGACTTGAGTTACTGACTGATGGGATGACTAACTGACTGATTGACTGGCTGACATGTTACCGACTTATTGACGGACATGACTTGCTTACCAGCATACTGGTCAATTGTCTGGCTGACTGGCTCAATTACTGACAGGCTGTTTTACTAAAACTGTTTGACTGACAGTCGCATACCGATCGACTGATCATTATTGCTGGCTCATTGACTAATTGACTTGACCGGCTGGCTGATATACTGAGATTCATGCTAAGAAAAGAATCAAGATTACTGATTGTGAATCGAGATTACTGATTGCTAATGAAGATTGTCAATTTTTCATTTTAGATCGGATGTGACCAGCAGATGTCCTAAGACTTCAGCAGCCAGGATTTTGAGCTTATCTTCAGTACTGTAAGTGCTGTATACATTGCTTTGTGATCTAGCTATTGAGTGAATCATAAAAATGGAACTTCCGATTATTGTGTTAAAGTATAATTGACATACAGATTCATCAGCTTTTAGAGGCCATACCTGGCATAATTTAACACAAAATTTGAAACTGCTTTGAATTTAATGTCTCTGTAAAATGAGAGATACATGTACATGTCTTAAATTGATATAATTATTATAGTGAAATTAGGATTTTTGAAAACTGTTCAGCCTTTAGAACAGTTTTTCAAAGTTGATCCCTGCTGTTTGCAACATCAAAAGTAATGCTTGGGAGACATATTTGTTTGTCTTGGATCTCTGATTTTGTCATTTTATTTTACATGTAATTTCTTTGCTTACTCTAAGTTCCGTAGCGATTAAGGGCGAGTAATTGGCAAAATTAAACAAAATGAACTGGACTGCTGTGACACAACCCCTTTAACAGACATCTCATAGTTATGGTAGTTTGCTTTGTCTCTGAGGAAAGAAACCCCTACATTGTCTCTACATTTAATCCATTTAATATGGACAGCTGTTTAAATGGATCTTTTCTAATGACCCTCTCAGTGTAACGGGATTTGAATGTAAGGGTTCTTAGCAAAATTAATATATGAACTGATAAACAGTATAATTATTCTTGTAATGTTTATGATCGTAAGGGGACTTAGATGCTTATGTATGCTTTTGTTTTCCTTATCCAGATCAGATGCATTATGCCACAAACAGACAGGATCAAATCTTCAATATTAAGGCTTTGGACGTTATCTTAAGTACCGTATTACTTTGTAATCCAGCTCTTGAGTGAACCAGATAAGCGAAATGTGGCTTGCTTGTTCAAAAGACAATTATTATTAATCTTATCCAGGACACAAAATTAAAAATGCTTTTAAATGCACTTTAAAGGAGTTAACAATAAAGTGCATCTTTAAGGGGTTGGTTGGTTTGTACTGAGTAGTTCACTACAACATTCACATGATACAAGGCATGTGGAGATTTCTTTGTGCAGGGCTTTTCGTCCTATGAGGTTTCTTAATACAATCTTTCAATTGCAGAGATTAGTAAGTAAAACGCACAGGGCAAAAGTATCAACAGCTGATTTCCCGTATGTAGTTGAGGGCAAAATTGCTTTAGTTGCTGTTGTGCGGAAGAGTTGGTTTTTATTTTGAACATAATTAGGAACAACCCATTAAGAATAATTGAAGTTAATTGATGAAATTGAGTTGAATCAGTGTTTATTTTCAGAGCATCTGATGGCTTAGTGTAGTTGGAGAAATTCACTTGACCCTAACTTTTTCAGGAAAACAGTCTGTATTTGAAGCTTAAAAGGCAATCCAAATCACCGTCTACACAAAATAAAGGAAAACTGTCCAAAACACTTTTAAGTGTTCATACTACTTGAAACTAATTTGAGAGCTTCAATGAATCACTGAAGCAAGTTGCATGTAGCAATTTCACATTTATTTTCTGACTGGATTTTGGAATTTTCACAGCCTTCATCTTATTCAATGAAAATGCATATAAAATTCAATTTTATAATCCTGTGGTGGAAAGAACCACTCAGTGAAAAAAATTTGGCTTGATAATTAATCATGCCAAATATATTTTTAGTTTTTCTCCTGGATAAGTATTAGTTTACTTTTGATTAGTTTGCCACAGCTATGTTATAGAATGATGTACGTGTAAGCTAAGTTCTGCTATAGCTTGTTAAAAAACAGTTTTACGTCATTTTCATGTGCCAATTTTTGCAATCACAAAGTCATTGCAAAAATTTAGTACTACCACCATGTCTGCTAATAGTGACCAAATAATATTGAAAACTTTAATTAAAGCTCACAATCATTGTGTCAACAAACATGTGGAAAGGTGAAAGAGAACCAGGGAAAGTTTAGCTTAAAAAGGAGAAACATTAGCCTTTAATTTTTTCCAACGTAAAGATGAATTCATGCAATGTGCTCAAGCTTACCTTAATGTGCATTGAAGTTTCATATTATCATTCAGACAAGTCAATTTGTGGTTCAAAGAACCTTATGTATTCTACAGTTGCACAACAGAAAGCGATGAATTAAGTTCATCAGAGTGTTGCTGAAAAGAAAATTTGCAACTCAAAGTGGCAGCCTTCAACTCAACAACCTAAAAAAATGGTTTGCACTATATCAAAAACAATTTGTTGAAGTATTAAAAAGGGCTGATCACTAAAATCTCATTCAAAATTTTTCAAAATCTGAAATTTGAAGGCCATAAAAAAAATCGAGTTTTGTTGGCACTGTGGTTAGAACTTTGTTCAAAGTTCTCATGATTTTCACATGGAAGATGATGAGATGTAAAACTGACTGTGGGTTAGATCAGACATGCAATCTACATTGTTGCTTATACAGCCAGCATCACTGACTGACTGACTTAAAATTAAACTGCCTGACTGACTAACATACTGACTGACTGACTGACTGACTGACTAATGGACTGGTTTGTTGACTGACTGAGTGGTTGACTAACAGACTGACTGATTGGTTGAATGACTGACTGCTTGACTGGCTGCGGACTGACTGACTGACTGACTGGCTGACCAACTGACTTAGCAACTGAATGACTGACTGCCCAACTGGCTAATGACTGAATGACTGCCTGACTGCCTGACTGACTAACTGGCTAACTGACTGGCTAGCTGACTGACTAGATGACTGACTGACTGACTGACTGACTGACTGAATGAATGACTGAATGACTGACTAGCTGACCAACTGACTTACTTCATAAACAAAGACGAAAATTCCGTTTTTTGACCTAAATCATGGGTTAACCCCTTTTAAAAAATACAGTATGACGAGCACATAAAATCCATATTTCAATAGTCTAGGAGGACTTGTTTTTTTTTACGAGATGATTTATCAGACATTTTATTATTTCTAAGGCTATTTTTGCCTCAACACAAGCAAATATGATATTTCCAATCTTCGCCCAAAATCACAGGCTAACCCCTTTAAAATAATCTCAATATGGCCACTGTGTAAAATGAATATTTGTATGGTCTAGGAAGGCTTGTTTTCTACATGGATGATCATCAAACATATTTTCAAGGCTCATTTGTCCAAAATCGCACTGAGATGAAATTTTTTCTAATTTTTGAACAAAATCATGGCTTACCCTCTTTGAAAAAGGGGTGTAAAATCAATATTTTTTTGTCTACGAAGACTTGTTTTCTAACTGGATGATCAACAAACTTTATCTTAAGGCCCTTGTCCCAAAACAAGCAAAGAGGAAATTACCATTTTTGACCAAAATCATTTGAGATCCATATTTTTATAATCCAGGAGGCCTTGTTTTCCCAACTAGTTGATCAATTTACCTCATTACTTGCTGACTGCATGACATATTGATATACCTTCTTAATTACTGCTCAACTGGGATATCGACATATTGACTGAATATCTAAGTGATTTTTGACTGACTTTATTTACTAACTGAATGAATGACTTGTCTTGACTGTATGGCTCTTGGTGGATTGCATGACTGTGCTACATGTAGTTTATTTCTTGGTTTATTTACTGTGAACTTTATGTTGAATCCAAAATCTGCCTTGCATTGCACAAAGTGCAATGGGAGTGGGTACTAGCTTTTGGCGCCATGAACTATGGGATCGTATGAGTAACAGTCACTAAGTTTTGAAGCTGGAAGGGTGGTTAGAATACGAAAACAGTCATTTAAGGTATTGGTTTGTCACGCGAGAAATCACTGTACTATTATGAACGGACGGTGAGAATTGGCAAGGAAAATTAGCTTTTTCATTACTTGGAGAGTAAAAGAAGAAGTTCACAGTATCAAGACAAAAGGTCTTGGACGACGCTTTGTGTAATTTCAGACTGACTTTATCAATGATTGATTCATATCGCAAAATAGCGCCATGCGTCGGTGTGTGCACTATGAAGTTTTTTTTTTTTTTTGTAATTACTGCAAAATCATAGTCTTAAGTGCAGTTGTCCTTGAGATCGTCACGTAAGGCGTTTGTATCTGCGTGACGACCCCAAGAGCCATTTCAAGGAAGACTGGACCATTTTATTTCACACGAATAAGTCAGTCAAGATATTTTTTTGGTCGATTTCGTTTCTGCAAAGCACTTGTTTGTTGCGTCCTTTGCGTCGAAACTTGCAAACCGCTTGATAAAGAACAGTCTGATTTTAACCACAAAGATTTAGTAAGAGTTTATCAAAAGCAGAACTTAGCTCTCTCTTGATTTAAACCAACTAGTACTTTAAGCTCAAAATAATAGTGTTGGTGCGAGTTTGAGAAAGACCTTTAACTGTTGCCGCTCAGCAAAATTAAAAGAATTTGCGTGGGCGGGAGTTTCCTAATAGAATTGTCAAGCCCTTTTATTCGCGCGAGTGTTTTTATTTTTTTGCGACTTAATGTTTTTCCAAATTTGCATCGACACTGGAACTTTGTTGTTGAAGTACTTATGGTTTGTCAAACGTAAAGGCTTGGACACAGTGAAGCACTGTGCGCAGTAAATTGACGTCGTTTTTTTTAGCGCTGAGATTGTTGCGTGCGATGTGTAAACAAAAGCAATTTGTTAAATTCGAGCTATCTTTTACAACATTGTATGCAACAATCGCTTGGTTGGAAAACGGTGTAATTTTAAGATTAGTTCATATCAGCGACTTGAACGCAAGCAAAACCGGCACAGCTGAGTTCACTGAGGTCATGAACAACAAATGCGTAAGCAGAAACATGGGAAGAAGGAACACACTCATTCTTTCCTTGATCATTACTAATTCACACAGTTAAAGAGCAAACACAAGAAGAATAAAACGAACCCGTTTGATTTTCTTGTTCTTGTGCTTTAAATGGGTTAATTACTGGTGAGGATAGAAAGAATGAGTGCGCACTTTCTCCTGTGTTTGTGTTTATTCTTGTGCTGTTACGTCCGCACTTAACTTGTGCTTGTGTTTATGTCACTGGTGTAAACCAATCTTAACTGCGCGCGAAGTTTTACTATGTCCGAGCCTTTAGGGTGTTTATCTGGTTCACTCAAGTAGTTGGATTACAAAGTAAACAAGACCGGTACTGAAGATAACAATACTTTATTGAAGAAATAAAACTTGTCTCTGTTGTCCATTTTTTACAATAAAAAAAATATAAAAAAAAAGTAATCTAGCCTCCCTCGCCCCTGCCGGACTGCTTCCACTCTGCTCCAAGTCAGTGTTCATTCTTCTGTCGTCATTTAATATTCCAACTTTAAAATCCTGGTCTGTTTTATCTGATCCCTTCATTCAAGCTGGGGGCAGTTGGACGCTTAGAAAATTCAGCCGTTTGTTCCCAAGTGGGGTGGGCAGCGTAGAGGAAAGTGAGAGTTTGCTCCTCATGCCCTCAGGGTCTCATTCATTTACGTCACAATACCACACCGGCCAAAAATAATTCTCAGCGAAAAATATAATTTGTTTTAGTTGAAGACGCGTATCTACAAAGTCAATATATCGTGAAAATATCCAGAGACTCGGACAAGAAAAAAGAGGGTGCTACAGAGTCAAACTCACTTTTCAGAGCGTCTCCGTCAGAAACGAAGGCAGAGAATTGAACAAAGAATCGCGCTGGTCTGACTGACCTTCATTTCACAAACTTCACCAAAGAGCACAAGTCAATAATAATCTCTCCTCTGCGAAGAAACTGATGCTGGATTTCTCTCGCCCTATTTTAATGTTTAGTGTTTAATATTTGGGTCACAATGAAATGAAATTTGCTGCCGAAAATAAGATATTATTCTAGCGCCGTTTATTATCATTTAACCAAAAATGCCGAAGTGCCGCGATTAAGTTTTGGTCTTCATATTTCGTTTCAAATTCAATATCTAAAATTTGCCTGCCCTGTTATGAATTAGGATGACGTTTTTTAAAATCAGTGCCAAGTAGATTTCGCCTTCAAATTTCGTCTGAATTTCGCCAAAGGGATTAGATCTAAAGCGACTTTGTAAATAAATATTTCATTTCAGTTAAATTTTGGATCCTTTTACTTCCAATGAAAATAATGGACAAATTTTCGCATTTCCAAAAGAAAAAGGAAATTAGCAGAAATATATATATTTTTTATCCTATAAAGTAAAATTAAATATTAGCTAGAAAAAATTAGATTTGAGTTTAAGTCTTAATTTATACAGCTAGCCGCGATGTTTATCCGCATAATAATGAAAATTTGCCGGAATAATAATTTGGGCCAATTTCCCTAGAGATGTTTCAGCTGTCGTGACCGGAATGGATACTTTACATCAGGTTTCCCACAAAAGACTGGGACTAGCCAAATGCGTCGTTTAAATGAACAATAAACAACAAGAGTCTTCCAGTCCTTTATGGGAAAGTCGATTATAACGTATCAATTGAAGTCACTGCCGAGAAATTGGCTGAAAAATTACCGAAGACATTAAGCGAAATCTATGCTTATGAGAAAAGTTGTTTATATATTTATGCCTACAACTGAACCTAAAGCATGAAGGTCAAATTAACTTGATTTATCACACAAGCCAAGGAAATCTATTCTATGTCCCTTTTAAAAAAGGACATAGAAGCGACTTCTACAGCAGTCTGATTAATCAAGTTAATTTAATCGTAATAATTTGATCCTAAATTAATACGGTTTAGTTATCTAGGTTTCTGAAGGCTTAAGTAATATCAAAGAGAAGTTAGTCTTTTTAAAACATCCACAGCCTAGTTTGTTTGCCTGTTGTTTCCAGTTGACACAGCAACAATAGACAAACAAACAACAGATGTTGATGTAATATAACCTTAGTTTTGATCTTTTTTAGATAATTGCGGTTGGAAAATGAGAATAAAACTATAATTAAGATAATAATCAAATCCTAAATTAAAATGGTTTAGTTATCTTGCTTTCCGAAGGTTAAAATAATATCAAAGTGAAGTTAGTCTTAAACATCAACAGCCACGTTTGTTTGACTGTTGTTTCCAGTTGACACAAAAACAACAGACAAAAAAAACAACAGATGTTGATGTCATAAGACCTTAGTTTTGATCATTTTTAGATAA